GAAAATGCGATCGTCGATGACTTGAAGGGCAGCCTAGTCCCCTAACAGCACTGCGCTATACAGTAAAAATGAAGTTTCAGCGGCCTTGGGATCTGTCGTGGCGTTAGGCACATGAACTCATGCACAACCTGATCCCGGTCGTGTCGGGATGCCGCAAGCATGTCTATTGGGGGCTTGATCTCGTCTCTCGAATTGAGAATAGCAGACGTGGAGATGTCCTGATGCGAGGCTGGGACCTCGAACGCGGCCACAGACGTCAACGCGTCAAAGTGCGTCTGAATCCGAGTCGGCAATCTTCGTCGGGTATCGTGGGAAAGAAATCCGTGTTGCTTACCCTGCCCCGATCGGAGGACCTTGTCTTTGCTCTCCGTCCCTACAGGCGAGATGACCTGTTATTGGATCCGCGTGCGTCCTGCTCTGAGTGTCTATGTGTGTCAAAGATACTTCGCGCGACTGACAAAACTTCGAAGGCTTCTTCAAATTGCGCCCCGCTCCGATAGTCCCGTAATCAGACGCCTGATAAATGTTAGGCCGATGATAGCCCGAGCCTGTTCATACTTGGTACGAGACATACACGGCGCGACAAGGTGGGGCAACTCTATCAAGCTGCTACATAGAGCTGAGATGACAGGGGGATTGTCACCGGTATAGCATCGGAAGAAGACCCCAGATGGCGAAGTTTTCGATCACTCACGGACGTGGTGGGATACTGGGTGCAGGAGATGGCCGTGGCTCAGGCGTACCATTCCGCTCTTGGCCTGTCGTTTGACATGTTCGAACGCTGGGAGATCGTTGGCAGCGCCATGGCGGTATATGGTGTAGGCTCATACGGGCAATTTAGTAGACCGCGCCGCAGATCTGAAGAACTCATTTTCCCGAACCTAAGGCACACATAACCGTCACCTACAGTGATCAGCGCAGCCTATCATCGTGTCGGGGCGCATCTCTATTCAGTTCGCCGCAATTCGCACAGCTGCAACTGAACAACTGGACATATGACTAAGTGATAACCACCCGGCAAAGGAGCACCCCCGCCGCGAATACTCGCCTCGGCATCGCCTGCCTATCCAACTGGGATCATAGTACAAAAACTGGCAGTAATATCTTCACTCTGTCTCTTTGAAAGAAGTTTTTCGCGAACAATGCGTAATTTTTATTCTATTTTTTTTCCAAAAAACAGGGTACTGATGCCTGAGTCAGCAAAAAACGGCTGCCGTGCGCTTATAATTATTTTCGTCGGGGCGAACTTACGACATTGTGACCAACACTTTGGTGTACAGACTGCAGAGCTGTGTTCGGGCCACTCGAGCTAGAAGCACTCCATCCGTAATGACTAGTTTGCAGTCCAGAGCGACCCGATCCTTTTTTGCAGATATAGACCATCGCCAAAATCTGCAGCAACGCTCCAGACCTCCGCGCTCTGCCGTTCGCACACTTTGAGTATCTCAGCATTGATGCATGATGCCTGACTGACACAAAGTCCATAGCTCTTGCGATAGCATAGATAGACATCATTCCCGTTTCTAGCCTGCATAGAGTTGCTCGGCCCGTTCCTCGTACATGGGCGCACTTGAAATTCTTCTTCGTCTCGCACCAGAAGGCTGAAACTGACAGGCTCAAGAAGTCAAGCAGCTCGATGGATGCTTCTTGCCCCTCATGAGGAAGCTCACAGGGCAGTCATAACTCGGTGTTCCACAGTCCTAACACTACCCGGGGGGGATGACATGGAGCTGAAGAAAAGATCCGTTTTGTGTATTATCATGAGCACATACTGTCCTAGTATACACGGACTAAACAAATTAGCTGCGCTCTCAAGATGGAGACTTGACTTTCATTAATACGACCACTACTCTCGTCCAGAATGTGGCTAAGTACGCTACAGTTGTCAATTCGAGACCAGGTGTAATTCAGAGCAGTAAACATACAAGTAGCCGGGTGCAGACAACTTTGACCTCGCAGAGCATGTGTTGAGCGATGCGGGGTACACGGGGTCGTGAACGCCGGAAAGGCGTCAATCAACCCCGCCATCAAGGCCGCCGCCCCGTTTTGACCGCCGACCACAACCATGTTTCCAACATCCGGCAGCTAAATATCGTTATACAGGTCCCTGGGCTTCAGAGACATCTCATTTTGGTCCCAGCCGTTTATCTCTCAAACGCTCTCGGACGCTTCGTTAGCTGCAGACGAGCGGAGTCACGGTATGAGTTCAAACACAATATTCATGTCGTATAACAGTACCTGGCGAAGATACAGTACCTGACGCGCAGTGTGCTCTCGGATATGTCACAAAATGCGCGAAGCCGTGCCCAGGTTGGTTCACGCCCGCGCGTCAGCGAGCACGCTTATCGGCTGAGGACGGATCCCATTTCAACCGCAGGTACGTAGACGACATGCGTGGATGATAAACCTTCTGATCCTGACTGTGCCTTATGAAAAACTTGAGGCCGAATTCCTGAAGCAATTGCTGCGCGACCTCACCGAGTTCCCGGAGCAGACCGCCGTTGGAGCACTCCTGCTTCTAAATCCTGCTACGCTCACAACGCTGCCTACGGAAGAGAAGCAGCTAAAACACAGCGAAGTTCATGAAGCTGAGTATGTAGAGCATCAATACATACAGGTAAGCAAGCGCGTATATTCATTGAAGCATGGTGTTTACGACTTTACAGATTTATTTTTATGCTCCTGTTCTGTCTCTCGCGGAGGATCAGCTGAACTATGACTCATCGTCGGACGCTGACCCATGACAGATCATGCACGCACTTCGGACGGGGGGCCGGTGGACTCACGCGTTTTTGAGGTATGTATTGCCGATCTGTGGTGGACGCGTTCTTGCGGAGCCTCGTGACACTTCACTTTTGTATTAGATACCCCCGCGTGGAATTATAGACGTCTTAAGGCCGCTCATACAAGTGCTCGCCGCGTCGGGTTCGAAATGGCCCGTCCCATATTGCTACGGCCAATTTGAGCGAGCTGAATCGCACGATGACGAATTTTCACAGATGGTCTTTGCCAGCATGTGCTGATACTGGAACGGGCCCGTGCGAAGGGATCATACTGGACTGAATCATCGTTTGCTCGATGCGTCACATCGAAGCCGCCAGGGCGGATTGTTTAGCGGAGACAGCGTCGGTTCGTCTGCATCGATTCAGGGTCGTGACCAGTAGTGATTTCTCGGCGGAAGTCCATTTCTTTATGATCACCACGGGCGGATTCTCAGCGCGAGGCCCTCCCTCAATGTATCCTCTCTCTTACTTAAACGCTATCTCCGGAAGAGCCCCTTGTACAGCCTGTGAGGCCACCAGCAAGTCCGTACTTAACCGTCTCTGGGACATGCACGCTACTCGTTCATAACGTGCGGCTGATCCTCGTTTGCGAACATGATTATGCAGAGCTATGCGCTAGGCTCGTGCAGGCAAAGGTATCGATATTCCGCTCCAACTCAGTTTTTCCCTTCGACTCTAACATACATCTTGGGACAGGCTTGTTCTTGCCCGGCTTTTCATTGGCCTGCGCGCCGTGTGTTGTCGGCAATCTCGACAATGTTCCGTGCACATACGAAACTCTCCGGCAGCCTATCTCGTAGGACATCTTGCAGTGCTCGCGCGATACTGGCAAGATTTCCTGCCTCGGGCGCCCCCGCCCTGCACATGTCGTGGCCACCGAGCACATCTCGCTGGCGAGCGATGACCTCGTGGAACTGGCGCGGCCGACTACGGGAACGCGTACGCAAAGCTATCTAATAAAACCAAACAGACTGAATAGGGCTGTAGCTCGACGAAGTAATGCAATATTGTCCATGGCGACCACCATGGACACTGTCGAGGTCACTTGGGCAGTACTTTACAGAGACCCCCTCTACGCGCCATTGCGGCTACCTGACAAGTTACACGCAAGATGTGGGCTCAACGCACGAACTTCGTAGCATCATCAAAGTCGTCTTCGCTGACCCATCCTGGCTCGCGAGCGAGAGCCCCCTAGCGGGTCTAACTAAAAACGATGTTATGATCGAGCTCTACCAGGTATGGTCCCTTAGATGCCTCGTCGCATATCGTACCGTTCATCGTACGTCCTATGCTCGCAGCTACCCGAGTGGCCTTGCGCCCGCGACTCGCCCAACACCACAATCAAAGAGGCATTTGCAGACATCATCACTGACGAATATCTCACGAGCGCATGCGTCACAATATTTACCTCGAGCCCCTACGCCGAGGTCGAAAAGCGCGAGAATCTCGTGGTCATTCTTGGTACGTCTCGTTGTTCAATTCCCCTATCCGCACTCACATCCTTCTACTTAGAACCTTATTTGCGCCCGCGATCTCTCAAGCGCACTAGATCAGGGTCTTTCAAGGAGGGAAAGTCTGGATTCATGTCGGGTAAGCTTGCGTCCCAATGCAATGGCAGTCATGTCAACACGCGTATATAGACCGCGAAGAGATGGCTGCCGCGGCCTTAGACCAAGTGACGAAAATTCAGGAGTCTCAAATGCTGCAACAAGTCCACAACTACCGGCCATTGGCATCGGCTGCTCGCCCAGTTCATATCTACCACCCATTATTCGCTAATTTCCAGCGTATGATTAATCGTAGTGACTCCGAAGGAGAGCCGTTCTCCTCTGAAGAACTCGATTCTGCCCACTTCTTCATACACGATTGTTCAAAGTATCACCGGTCAAAAACCGGACGCAAGGATGCGATGTACTATCTGGCTCGAGCTGTCCACTGGCAGCTTCTCCAACTTAGCCGATTTAGTTACACCGTGGGGGCCCGCTAGAGTTCTTGACGGCGCTATTTTCTCCGTATCATCGCACCTCGACAAGCACTTCAAGCCTACGCTGGCTATGCACATTATCGAGAACGGAATCAGTGAAGGCAGCAGAGACCCTATCACCCAAGCCGAACTTCGTTATGTAGAGTTTCACCACTCATGAGAGGTCTGTGCCAAAGACTCATACAAGCCGTAGAGCTCACTGGTCGCATCTTCCCGTATAGGCTGACGCGCTCCGCCAGCTGTCGCCATGTCCATGTTTCTTGATTGGGACCGCCGGCCCCTACATTACCGTCAACGGCGCGGTTTTTGCGGACGATTTCATCTCGCAGCGGCTTGCCGATGTATGCGTCGTCCCCTGCGCAACGATTTCGGGGAAGTCGCCGACCGACGAAGCGGCCCGTCGCGTAGCTCGATTCTTTCATGCGCTGAAGGATTCTCTCGAGAAGCTTGAAGCCTACTACACCGGCCTTGCGGTCCCCGCCCCGGCTCACACCCCGTCCGGAAAGCCACGTTTTATCGGCCCCTACTTCACTAGGTTCACTAGGGCAGACGGAACGGAAGTGATGTTCAAGTATACTGGACACCTTAGTCACGACTATCCTGTGAAGGCCGCATTTACGGCACTCGTCGACACGGGCTCTGGCACGAAGTCGAACGTCGTGGTCAAGTTCGCGCCCGAGTACTCGCCCGAGGGACACGCGTTCCTTTCCGAAGCGTAACCGCCACTCGCGCCGAAGCTGTGGTTCTGCGAGAGGGTCGCGAGCGTGGGCAACATGTACGTCGTCGTCATGGACTTTGTGCGCCATTACGATCGCGCCCTATCGGGCACCGATCGCGCGTGCGTGCGCAAAGCAATGAAACTGCTCCACGACAAAGACCTCGTGTTTGGGGACCTGCATCTGCCGAACGTGATGCAGTGCTACGAGGGCGGGGCGATGCTCATCGACTTTGACTGGTGCGGAAAAGAAGGCGAGGCGCGGTACCCGATCGACATTCTGATCGCTGAGGACATGCCGTGGCATGAAGGTGTGCTGCGCGGAGGCTTGATCACCAAGGAGCACGACCTTCACCTCCTCAAGGAGCTTGTTGGCGGCCGGTAGCAAGGAGCACACTTGAGCGATGTCGTGCCCGTGTTTGTTATTGAGCATGTTCGAAACTGCCGCTTTTTCATGTACTATACGTGGCACTCGCTTAAAATCAGTGTTCAGCCTCAGTTTTAAGCCTTAAGCTCAGGCTCAAGGCCTCACTGGCATTGCCCGACCATTGTTGTTCGCATGCTAAGAATATTCGCTAGCGCGAGCATGTTACGCAATACCGGCTGGGATGTCGACACTGAGGGCGAGAAGGAGTGCTCTAAGGTTGAGGAGTCAGGCGACGAAGCATCTCAAATGCTATGGTGGCGTATGCCTGCTGTGGTAATTCGCTTGCGCGCACCTGACTGCAGACTCCACTTTAAGCTGCTCGATGCGGCAATATTGATAGGATAGACACAATGATGAATCGATGACATTGTGGGCCGTAATACGAGATTTAAGTACTGGAGCTGCTGCATTTGCTAGTTCATTGACGTGCGGCCGTCTTCGCTCTAGCGGCCGCCAGTCGAGGAGACTTCCGGACTCCGTAGCTTCTCTTTCTGCCCCTTTCGCGCGCCGATATACTCCGCTCGGCGTTCGTCGCCAGGTTCACTGCTCGTATCTTCCGCATCACTTCGCTCAACTCCTCTTCCTCATCTTCCTCAAGCGGTATCTCTTCCTCGTCCTCGTCGCTTCCAACGACTTCCAAGACTGTATATCTGGTTGGCAAGCCCTTGATCTTCGTGTTGACGTATTCCTTCATGAAAGAGCTATTGGCGCATGCTTAACTGACAACGCGCTCAAGCTGGACGTAATAGTACATACCCTGGATGAATCCCTACCACACGGTTGGTGTTGCGCTTCACTTCATCCGAGAACCAATCAGTTAGCGGCGCAGGAACTTTGAAGACCTCCTTCCTTCGTTCCGGTGGGAGCTGGGCGACGTATAGGAAGGCGAGAGTTTGCAAGAGAGGGGACCCGAAGCTGGTGCAGCGTCGAGACATGTATAGCGTGTCGCCCACTCTGTAGAAGAATATAACCTCGACGTAGTTGGAAAGAATGGCGAACTGAGTCCGGGCCGCCTGCATCTGGTACCAAACCTGCATTCCAATTATTTCAACATTGTCGAGTGCAAGAGGACCGGCAGCCAAAAGACGTACCTGGAGCAGTATTCTGGTCTCTGTATTTGTGCTCTGAGGGAATTCCCTGTTTTCCGCGTACCAGAACTTCATCGCAGTACCAGCCGGCACTTGACTTGTGTGACCCTGCACCATACCCTCGAAAGCGCCGACATCACCTCTACGCTGAGGTTTCATAGCATTGGGAGTCTTCACTTCGACGGTGGCCACGATGTTTTGCTCCTTCAAGGGCTTCCCGGGTCGGCTCGTTACAACCAGGCCATCCGGGATCGGGAACATAGCGTTGTCGGAGTGTGAGGAAACGGAAAACCACTCGTTCGTGTGAGGATCGTAAATGGCGCGGACTGTCTTCTGCTTGATAGCTCGCAGGCATCGAACTACGGGCTGAATGATCACGGAGAAGACCCAATTCTCGGTGTCCTTCTCGCTATTAGCAATCGGAGGCAAATCGGAAGACGTCCACTTAGGATGAGTCTTTGTGATGAATGACCATCCTTCCTCCTCCCCAGCGTTCGCCACTAGTCCATCCCCCCAATCGCGTCTGAGATAGTCGAATGCCTCTCCGTCCAAGAGCTGACCGACCATATCCGGAAAATACACAACCTTATCGAGTTTCGCATGCTTTCGGACTTTCTGAAATGCTTTCTCGGCTTCGGGTCGATTTGTCTTCTTGAGAATGTTCACAGTGGAACGACAACTGTCCTTGCTCCGCATCGGAGGGCCTGTCGGTGGTACCACCCGCCGGAGCATATCGATGATATCGTATAGCCTTCCAGGCTCCATACATGGCACGGCATCATCCTTCGTCGTTTGTTAGAGAGACGTTGGATTGGGATAGACGGCAGCATACCTGTGGCATCACAAATTCGAAACTGGGGAGAGCGATAATATTTCGAGGATAGGCAGAGTAGTAGATAGAGTCGCGAGTCGCATAGTACCTCTTGTATTCTGAACTTATACCTTCTGCAAGGCATGTAAATTTTAAAGGCCACCGTGAATGTTTTCCAGAATGAGAACGTGAACCGCAGCGCCTATAATGAGTCACGACAACCATGCAGCTCATCGGACTTTCATCTTCACAAGAGAACTCACCGTCCATTGTTGCCTTTCGGAGCACAAATGATACAGCCTCCGTAAAACAATAGACGTCTCTGCAGAATCTCTGATGCAGATCCCACCAAAATGACTCCATTGTGGGTACTTACCGCGAGCATCATAAAAACTGGCAGCCCCGGCCCCAGGGTCTAAAGATCTGAAACTTCGAGTCTTATTAAGTCCGATGACCTTGTTGGCCACCACGGAATCTGATAGAATCAGCGAATCGGGCTGCATTGTCGCCTTCAGAAGAGAGGTTTGGAAGCATCGACTCTTCGTTCTCCGAAGTACTGAGATGAGGTATTGTCATTGGAGAAATGGTCAGACAGCCGGGGCCCGCAAGGCCCGGGCCTGGCTGTGGAGGGCCGCCCAGGATGACCCCAATTCGATGTCTGAAAGGCATCAATAGTAATCAAGGCAAACTATAATCGCGCAACCGCATACCAAAAATCTAGAAGGTCTTTTAATGGCATGGACGGCTCATATTTTTGGCGGCAGCCAGAGCGGGAGATGGTTCGGCGCTCCGGCCTTGCTCGAGATGGCATCTCCACGTGACTTCTGGCTGATATAAAGTTCGCCAGTGATCGCCCCTCATACCGCACACCGCGCCGTCTACGCCACTAGCACTGGCATGTCATCTGATCTTACCATCAAGTTCTCTGCTATCCCGCAAGGCGAGGGGGAGCCTGGCAGGGAAGAATTTTCTCTTCACCTTACCCGCGTTGACAAGCAGGTCCGACTCGAAGGCCGTCTTCAGATATACAACACTGTGGGAGTCACCGCATCTGCGACGCGCGAGTACTATAGAGGGACGTTGGCTCAGCGCAGTCCAAATGACCCCGAGACCGACGTATTCATCAAGCTCGCATACGCGCAAAACCTCGACGACGCAGCCGGACTCAGAACCGAGGCCAACTTCTATAACAAGCAGCTGAAAGCATTGCAAGGGGACGTCGTACCTGTGTGCTACGGGATTTACGAAGGAGAGCACGACGATGGCGATCCTATTGTCTGCCTTGTTCTCGAGTATATGGGCGAGCCTGCCGAAGACGGGCTGGGCTCTCTTGACATGGACGTCCGGTGAGCGATCGTCAGGCCCCTCCGCTCTTTACAGCACCACTCAACCTGGTATCCATAGGCTGGAAGTTCTGCGTTCGGTGGTCCAGGTGCACCTTGCCGGGGTGATGCATAACGACATCAACGACGACAACGTCTTGTTCTCCTCTACGCCCGACAGCAAGCCCCGTATTATCGACTTCGAACACGCCGAGAAGCACAAATGCAGGCGTAAGCTCGAGATTGTCGAGGGCGCCCCCGTTCCAGAACGTTTGTTGTTCGGCTGTCCAGAGCTTTGGGATCTTGCTGCCAACATGGGCATTTGGCGCTCTCGTACGTCTATTCCTGATCGCTGCGCCCTTGCACACTAACAAGCAGTTCTAATTCAGAGTATGTCTGCTTCTACGGCGAATACGTTGACGAGGACACCATTGATTCTCCACAAGTTCTCATCGACGCGGTCCGTTCTATGACCTTTCTTCCACAGGAGGATATTGAGAGACGAGCGAATAAGGCGTACGAGATGGTGCAAGTATTTAAGGAGAATGGTGGGTATCGGCCAAGGGATTTCAACCCCGACGATTGGGTATTTTGAGCCTTTTATAGTCGGACTTCACTACGCTTAGACGGAATATTATGCAATAAATGCATATGCTTTTTCGCCGTTTTGTTGAGGATGGTCGGAAATTTTTTCAACAACCAGTTTTGCGAAGCTGGACGAAGGCGCTGGTTATGGCGGTCGCTCCGAGTCTTCGTCTGCATCATGGCCCATACTTGGCAATTCGCCCAAAACCAATATCGATGTCGAATTCCCACTGCAACCGTTTACACCCTGGCGTCTTCCTCCCCGGATTCTATTACCGCGGAAACAATGGCGGCCTCCGTAGTTTGACCCTGTCTCGAAGCAGCAGCAGAAGATGGCTGCGGTGACCTATATAAGATTCGCATGCTTTTGGTGCCGTATACTGTACTTTTTCGACCTGAATGGCGGCAGGTGACTGTGACCGTGTGTACAACCGTAGCGACGACGGCGGTGGCGGCCCCGATCAATTTTGGGTGGTTTTCTATGGGTGCGCCGCAAGCCCAAAAAATTTGGCCCATCTATAGTGAGTCCCTCTGTAACCCGTGACGGAAACCTCCGAGCCGCCAAGCAGCGGATTTGAGGCCCCTGAGGCCTGTGACCGCTGTCCAGGTCGAAAATCTACAGTACGCTTTGTTCTTGTTTCAAGCTCAAGCTGGAGCACTGATACACGAGGCTCAAGTATTTCCCTGACTCGCATAGTCTCCTGAATTCTCGTCCATGAGCCGATATAATACCGTACGAAAGGTCCCGACTTCTGGCCCTACCGTCGAAGTTGAGCTTCAAGTTCTCCAAGAGCTTCGCTCTCCAACCAACTTGTCTCTGCAGGGACTGCCGGCCCCGTAGTCCGATGTCGGGAGAATGAGTGTTGCGTACTCGCGGCAGCAAGGATCCAAGCGGACACTGCCATGTTGTCCGTGCAGTTTGACTGCCGGACATCGCGAATATGGCTGAAAGAGCCACAGCAGACATTGCTTGCACTGTCGACTCTCACCGGGGGTCCACCTAGCCATGTGATGTCGCTGAGTAGGACAGTCTCTAGATAGGTGATATCCACCAATACACGGAGCAGGATTCGGAATGACAGGAATTTGCAGTGGTGTAAGTCCAGATATGTGAGAGTCTGCAATGAGCTCTTCAGAGCTGCATTATGCAACACACATCCAGGGAGGCCATCACAATCATGATGGATGATGGTGCGGCATGCCAGTAAAAGGCGAAGGAGTGTGATCCAGAGTGGACGGTTGGGGTAGTGCTTGATATCAAACCACAGCATGGTGGTGTGTCTTGCAAGCCAGGCTGATAGCAGGGATCACAGTATATCATAGAGCATGCAGCAGTCCTCCTCGCTCCTCAGGCCGAGTTCGGTGAAAAGATGAGGGTGAAAGTGCTGGGACCAGGCCTTCGAGACCAAGGAGAGCTTTGATACTACATTTATGTCATTTGTTATCTTCACCAAGTCGTGTGTGTAGTCGCGCAGCTCAACAGGGAGTCGCTTCCAAGAGTGGCTGAACGTTGAGAACGGCCCAGACCGGGATTTCTCATCTGAAGGAGAATTATGAGCTGCTCAGCCAGGCGATCCCTTGAGATGGCGACTTACGCAATGCCATATATTGCGACCTACATTGCCATCGCCTTGCCTTCTTGGTCATGGTAGTTGTTGCGTTGAAACGTTGCGCGGAAACCACATACGACTCATAGCGATGATAGCCAAGCCGGGAAGAGCGCATCAGACGATTAGATCACGTAGAGACCTTGTGACGCTTTTCTGCCAAACCACAGACCGCGGATTCATTGCGATATACAATTTCTTCCAATCGGATGTGAACGGCGAGTATTTGATGCATTTTCAAACAGGAAAACCGGACCACGAGAATAAACATGATACTGTCCCAGGCTATACGCCTTGGGATTTACGCTGAGGCTGAGGCTGACTAAGCTATGCCGACAAATTCAGAAGAAAAAAAAACAAGACGACGGAAGTACCGTACGCGGCCAGAAAACGACCAGTAACTTGGACGCAGTATACGGCGGGCACCGCGAGCAACAACTATGGAGCCTCGACGGGGCCGCTCACCGCAGTGCATGGCAAGAACGGAAGCCTGAGTCCCGGGAGCCGATTGTAGTACCATTTATGCAGTATTCTCTGGAACGCCGATGACTTTGGCGGTGCCGAAGGCGGAAGACGGGTGAACCCGTATGACCTTCCAGCCGGTCTGCTCCATGAGCTCTTTCACCTGCCTCGGCGTGCGCTCTTTCCCGTTGAAAATTGCCATCATCTGTTTCTTGTATCAGTATGATGGGCGGTCTGCGACGGAAGAGCAAAGGCGCACCTGCACGTCCGCGTGGTACAAAAAGGTCGCAGAATGCCCCAGATTCGGAAGCAGAGGTTTGGGATGGACTGGACGCTCGACGCCTGCAATACCCTCTAGGCTGTCATCCTCGCATGCATACGGGAGGAGGCTATCAACAATCAGGAGGCGAGTATCTGGCGCAGCTGCATCCCGAAGGTGGCGCAAGATCCGAATACAGTAGTCGTCGGACCAGTCATGGAGGACGGTATGCAAAAGGAAGACCGAGGCATTCTTGACCGGCTGAGGAGTAAAGAAATCGTGTGCTGCACCATGAATAAGTCCCGGTGGTCACCACTGTACGTTGGGTTACTCGCCTTGGATGATGACCTTCTGAGACTTCACGGCGCCGGGTAATTGGCCATCCCAGAACTGGAAAGGCGGTAAGTCAGCTAGTAATTAATGATTGTGTAGATAGAATACATACTTCAACAGCGTCCTTCACAATTTGTTCGCGATCCTGAACCACGAAGCGTAGATGTGAAAAGTTCTGGGCAAGTCTCATGGACTGGGAACCAACTCCGCCGCCGACATCCACAACGACCGCATCTTGTTTCAGACTCCTCCAGTCGAAGCCTAATCATACAGTCATGATCTCAATCAGAATGCCTTATGCGAGGTACGTACCCTCGAGGATCGCATTCCGAGGACCCGCCTGCTTGATACCCTCCAATGCGATGCAAAAGCGCTGAAGACGATACTCGTTACCCTTCTGCTCATACCACTCCCATGCATCTAGCTTTGTATTGAAGGCGAGGCTCAGTGCGGTCTCGTTTGGTTCCTGAGACTTGGCAATCTTGGGATCCAAGAGCATATCCCGTAGATATCCTCCTGCTTTCAAACACTCATCCGTGCTGAAAACACTGTTAATCCCATGACGACTGACGAGACTCGGCCAAGCGACTCACCTGTACTCTACACCTGCAACTTTACCAAGAGTGCCAATATGCTTTGCCTCGGGGCTTGAATAGCTGCATTAGCCCGCGTCTATTGAGCAAATGGAAATGGTATACTTTGCGAGAATATCTTTGACGGACTTTCCAGTGTCCAGGCAGGACGAGATGCGGTTGTGCGTGAAGACGTCAGGCGCGACTTCGACAAAGATATGGTTAGTGGCGAGTACACGGAGGACACGTGCTGGAACAGCCGTCAGACACAAGTTTCGTAGGAGGGATGTGAGGGCGTGTACCAAGCTTTGACGGGTCGATATTGCTCGCCAGAGCAATCTCATTTACATGTGCTCCCTGTGACGCGGCACCATGAGCTGATAGTTTGACTGCACTACAGAAGCGCGACAAACCTTGGGATCGGCTTCTCTCAAGGCCTCGGCCACATTGGCAGCTATTACAACACTCAGCGAGGCGCACAGGATGTGCTACAAAAAGATAGTTTGTGAGGCTAGTCTTCCTGGAACTTGTTTGTCATACCTGAGATGCCACGGCTGCAATGGAGAGTATCGGCGAGCGGACGGAGTTGATAAGTTGGTAGGCAGCGGAGATAATCAGAGCACACGCCCTGTTGACCTCTGGCTGCATGCGTGCTGCCTCAGACTCTAGAGATATCGGCGTGTGAGGCGAAGGGAACTCCATGTTCTTCGATGCCAGTGAGGCCTCGATGGAATCAATGGAGTCCTGGATAATCTTGGAGAGAGCCTTCAGCTCTGACAGAGTAGTAGGGTTACTAGTGCTAGTTGTTAAGCCGGAGATTACGAGCAAGAGTACCACCTGCGTACCTGATGCCCATTGCTCTCGACGCTTTGCTAGGACTGGAGTGGACCTTGGAGTGGGATGAGAGAGAGAGGTTTACGGGGCAGGATGAGAGCGAGAGGCCTTGGGACCTATGCTGGTGAGCGAGGGCTAAAAAGGCGTGAGGATTCAGGGGGCTACAGGCACCCTTATCAGAATTGTGAGCCCGAGATATCTTGCCAGAAACCCAATATCAATTAGCTGAAGCCTAACAAGCGAACGGCGAGCTAGCAGCCCCACTTGCTCTGTGCAGAAGAAGACAAGTATGACAGGGTGTGAGAACGAACACTGTTGCGAGCAGAGGTCCACCTCCAGATAGAAATTGCGCTGCTCACTTCCTCAGTTCAGAACTCCTAGAAGTACTGAACCATGGGGTGATAGAAAATACAAGATTTCGCTCATAGCGTGGCAGATCGCAAGGGCAGTGTGCATCCGCCGCCGCAAGGTGGCAGATAACAGGGCCGATAATGCCACAGCTACTGGTTCCTACGAAAGACAAGCACCATGTCAGTCGACGAGCAAGCCTTTCACGGTCACTAATGGAAAACATACTAATAAATCGTGTTCGCGGTCCGCTTATTATACACGATCACCCTCCTAACCTCGGTACGCGCCCCACCAACTACCGAGTAGACTGGTCACGAGTCCAGTAGTCCGCGTCCATAAGGGTGAGAGATACAGGCGACGGAGTCCCAGTGGCGTAGGGTGCCTGGTGCCTACTCGCGAGCTTACACGCTTTACTTATTGCAGCTTACTGCAACTTACATAATAGACTGGCGGCCAAATTAAGGAACGGGGGACTTATGCCCTTTACTATACCGGTAAGTCTTGAAAGCTTGAGCTTGAACGTTTGAACGTTGAACTCTAGGCGCCAGAATCGTACACGCGACTCTTCTGCTTACCTACCGCCAGTGATCACCCAACACCACCGACGAGTCTTTGACGGCATGTTCCAACAGCTTTCTCATCCCGCATCTTGCGCCCGAGCGACGAGCATCTTCTTTAATTCAATCTTCCCTGAATCTAGAGACTGTCTTCTGCAGAATGGTTGCAAACCCAGGACATAATGACTCAACAAGAAGCCGCGTTGACGAACAGCCTAAAGTGGGCGACGTGAGTCACAACGACGAGAGCTGCTCCGACGGCAATGTCGGAGAGCCCTCCGACGAAGCAGGCTGTATGCAGGCTGCGGCCGAGACGGCAATCGGAGTGCAGGAGGTTAGCGGCCAGCCCGGTCAGTTCATACTTGTCGTCTCTACCCCGGCTGCGAGCATACATCTCCAGACCGTGCCCCTGCGCATTTGACTACTTCATTCGTGCTGTTCTATCCGCGCTTATACTGGAGATGAAGGACAGTTACGCCGTCAAGCCGATGAAGGAGCTGGTTCTCTACCTGGAACCCCGTGAGAGCAGAAAAGGGGGAGGTACCGACATTTCTACATGCATCTACTTGGCTTATGATGTTTCATACATAGATTGGCTATCATCTGAACCCGTTCCAACGGTTCGACACGGTCGGTGTGGTGAAGGAACACTTCTTAACTCCTTATACCGGTTCTGTGTCACCACTCATCCAGCAGCTTCCCTCACCTCTATGATGAGCTCAAAGAGCGACGCGTCCGTTCCCGAAGGCCAATCGCGCTCTCGGTCTTCTGAAAAGTACAGCTCGCCAACTTACTTCTTTGGCTTCGTCGTCGCCTCATGCGGCGATGGCACCGTGCTCAGGCTACTTAGCTCCTGACTGTTCCGGCGCATCGTCCTTCATACTCCATTTGTTCCGCTCTTTCGTCAATCTTGACTTCTGGACGAACCAATTAGGCTGCCATGGACAATGCTATCGACTCCAGCCTCCACATGCGCCTCACTTGTACCGCACGCTATCCAACCGCGCTCGAGCTGTTAAGGGCTACCGCACGATCGAGGGAGCTGAGACGAACAGACTCTTTGTAGGGACCTCGAGAGAAGGTTGGCCAAGAAGCACTCGAGTTTGGACATGTCGGCGGGTCGCGAACAGCAAGTGTACGAAGGATGGGAAATTGCGTGTTGCATGACTGGATGATTCTGCATGCCGCGATGCCCATATTCGCCATGTACCTGCCCGACACTACAGAAGTCGTGTGCCTACCCGCCGCTCCATCCGCGCAGCAGTGTAAGCCGACTACAGATGCGCCGAGCCCATGTGCAAGTGCGATAGGCGCAGATCATCTTTCACTCTGCCGACCCCACAGCATTAGTCCACCTCGCTCAGGCTAGAGTCTTTGTCCGGCCATTGGACAAACTGCAGCGAATTATTTGGGGGAAGCATCGGCGGGTGCCAGCCGTTGGCGTGCTGGCTCACCGAGGCCGCCGCTGCTCCGTGGTGGTGCTGTTGATGGGTAGCGTTCCAGAACGCGTCACCGTAGCTCGAGAATAAGTTAAAATCCAGCGACGACGATCGCTGCGAGGAGTGTGATGCCGACGACGCCCACGAATACATGTCAATACTGTACGAGCTGTAAGTCATGGCAGACGACGGCGGTTCAGAATCGTTGCTCATCCGGCGACGCTTCATGGACCGTGTTTGCCCAGCGACGTCGTAGTCAGAGGCGTCAGGGTACTGGAGCTCAGCCGACATGTTGTACATCTGCGCCAGTTGGTCAGGGTGGTAAGGACCAGGATACGATATGGTTAGCCCATGGCCGCCCTCGAACGGCGCAAGGCTTTGGCCGCCGTAGCACAGGAAGCTCGGCTTGGCGTGCATGGCCGCGTACTCCTGCTGGATGTGCTCGAGGGGAAGCTGCTGGTACACCGACTGGCCGTAGACGGGGGCATGCGCGGCCGGGGCGAAGTAGCTGAAGTGCGACTCGAAGCTTGTTGAGGACGGTGCCGGTACGGGGACGTACATGTTCGGGGCGACGTCGCTGGGCGTGGTGTGCATGCTGGACAGTGGCGATCGCTGGTCGTAGTACGACTGCGGCGTCTGCTGGAACGGGATCTGTAGAGGGCCGAAGACGTCGTGCGAGTGCGAGGATGCGCTGACAAGTGGAGAAGGCTCGGGGGAGAACATGTACGGGGCATCGAACTGGGTCTGGAGCGAGGGCAGTGAAACAGAGAGCTGGTTGCAGTGCTGCATCTGCGGCGGTGGGGTTGTCATTTCGAAAGAGAGCGACGAAAAGTCCTGCGGGCAACTGGTGAGTGTCAAGCCATCAAGCTTCAAGCCCAGTGAGAACCTCGTCCGTCTGGCGCTATCTGAGTCGACCTGAGTCGACCTGTAGTTGGTCGGTAGCGTGAGATCGACCTGGATGGTGGAGTGTTGTAGTAAGGGACCTAAGGTCTATCCAATCCATCAGAATATGTCCGCACAAACATGGGTTGACCGCGGGTAGATCTGGACAGTACCGGGCAGGTTTGAGCAATTCCATGAGCTGCACCCTCAATTCTTTGTACTTAATTCGAGTAAAATTGATATTATATTTTGTGCTACTCATATATGCTCGGTACAATCCAGATCTATCGTACTCTACACCCATCGATCCTCCCGTGCTCTGGGGTCCCTCCTCGGCCTACCGTGGATCATCATGCGGTCGGCCGAGCGTCAGAAGCAAGGCGTCCGTGACCTCCCCGCCGTCCATCGCGCGATACCAGCATCCAGCATGTCCTGAGCGCATATACGTGATGAACAGAAACAGACATGGCTGTTGGTTGCTGTTGTGAGCACGACGCAGCTGTGAAAAGAGCAAGTGTAGACGCACCTTGAGCCCGCCCCCAACATTTGCGGCAGTGTATCGGCTGGCTCGACTGCCCCTGCGATGTTGAGTACAACACAGCGCCGAGAGGCATGAGTTGATGTTAAAAAAGACTTTCGGTGTTGGTATATGCGCATATACTCACCTGCTTGCCAGATTGGATAGCGGG